GGATTTTTCAAGATTTTTCTTGTGTTTCATCTGTATACACTAAAAACTAAACACTGACCCCTCTCCCAGTCCACCGTCGTGGACTGGGTTTTTTTTAATTTTGTCACCAAATGACCTGAAAAGACTAAAAGAATGAATCACTCCAGAATTCACATCTTGTGGCGTAACTCTGGAAAACACTTCTGACTTGTTTTTATCTTTGGAGATCTCTCAGATCCGACTCAGAGCTCTGTGGTTGTGTTGACTAATGGTGTGTTAAATTAATTTAATTGCTTGTATTGCGTCATCCGTTCTGCAGCTGAATTATTTCCACACAACCAACCAGAGCTGTATGATCGCCTCCATAAACAACGTGTGGGATTATTAACGGCTTCTCCAGGGAGTTCTGTTTTCGTGTCCATGTTGCGCTAAATTCCTGCTAATGCTCAAATCTGCAACAAAATAAAATAATCTCCGCTTACCGACAGACGCTACAGTTTCCAGATGTTCCCTGAACGCCTCCCTAGTCGTCTGAGAAGCTTCTAGTCTCCATCAGTTACTGCAGAGAGACCAAACATTAGCCTGAAATCAGGAGCTCTGACGTCAGATTGAATGAATTTAAATATTCTTCGACTGTGCAGCTCTACCACTGATTCCTCTTTTGCAACCAAATCTTCTTTTTCAGCGTTTAAAACACAACAAAGTGTTTTAAACAAACTGTAAATAAAGTTGTTAAGGAAGTTTTATCAGACAGACTTTCCTTGTAGATTATTTATATGTAGATATGTAAGTTTTTCTTTAGAAACATTAAGTTTAATGCAGTAAAACGACTGAAAACAGCTCCTAAATGTAAGTATTAATGAACATAAACAGCTTTAATCGTGAGGTTTTCTTTGATTCTGATGGAAGTCTGTGTGCGTTTTAATGCTGCAGTAAATCTGAGCGACATCCCAGATCTGTTTCCTCTCCGAACACAAAGCCTCCGTTCTAATTAACCACATTCATGTCCGTTGCTGCACATCAGAGCGAAACAAGGCGTCGCCGTTGAACTGCTGATGTGAGCGATGCCGGTCGCGACATCAGCGCCGTTTATGAGCCTCTTCGTCGGCATTTATATCAAACATGGCTGCTCTGTGAGCTCCTGCCTTCACAGTGTTAGCAGCTAACGACCAATCATCTGAGTCTGTGATGTGTGAGCGCTCTGGTTCTGTGGGTTCTGTCGGGTTTAGCTGAGAGTGAAGAAGAAAAGTCCAAAGAGGAGCTTTTATCCAGAACAGGAGGACGAGATTCAGAGATGGAGAGGAGGGGAAGGAAAAAGTCTGGAGTTGTTCCTGGTTCTGGCTTCAAAAATCGTCAGAGTTCAAAGTTCTTAACCGTAAAAACGTAAAAAAGGAATGCTGTTAGAATTTTGCTGTATAGTTAGAGTAATTTAACAGTTTTTAAAATCCGTCTGAAAACTAATTTTTATGCCCTGGCATGACACTCCTGTTTATGGTTTTTACTGTTCTTAATAATGATTTTACTGCAATTTTATTGTATTTTGCATTTGAGATGTTTTAACTTGTTTTATGTTTTGTGTTCAGCACTTTGTTTTGACTTTTGTTGTGTTACGGTGCTTTCTAAATAAAGTTGAGTTCAGGAATTTTTACAAAACGTAGTTGAAAACCGTAAAATGTGATGCTTTTATTGAAACCAATAATAAGAACAACAGTAGTTTTTTGGTTTTTTTTTTTTAAATAATGCTGAATATCTGCACAATGTACCTATTTTTGCAGATTTAATGTGGACATAATTCACTATTTATGAATTTTTCAAGGATTAACTTGTAGATTAATTTTTTTTTTTTTTACTGGTTGTAATCTGTCATTTAATAAACAGAGAAAATCTGTAAAATACCCGCAAATTGTTTTAAAAAATCATCGTTAAATAAGGAGGCAGGTGTGACGACGGAGGGAGAACGTTTATGTGATAAAATGAGCAGAGACGAGAGACAACCAGCAGCTGAGTCGGGCTTTATAGGTAGCAGGACAACAGAGGAGCCATCTGGTGGGACCGTGTGGTTCTGGACCAGGCGTCTCCTCCTCGCCACCAGAGCACCGGACCCCTCCGGGACGTCGGTGTCCTCCGGGCCGACAGATGGCCGATGCCCGTTAATGACCGCCGCTCCCTGTCTCCTCCAGGTGTGTACCCCATGTCCGTGTCGGAGGATAAAGTCCCGGGTGAGGAGGTGGGCCGGCTGAAGGCCAAAGACCCCGACATGGGGGACAACGGGATGGTGAACTACCGGCTGGTGGACGGAGACGGGATGGGCCTGTTCGAACTGACCACCGACTCCGAGACCCGGGAGGCTGTGATCAAACTCAAGAAGGTAAGAAACTGATCCGAACCTCTGAACCCCAGAACCCGTCAGCAGGGTCTGAGCTCTGAGAACAACTGTCAAAAACCGAGAGAATCAGTGGATTGTCAACGTTCAGAACTCACCGTGTTCTTGTTCTGAAAATAAACCAAATCGAACTTTACTCATTTAAAAACAACAACCAGGATTATTAACGGCTTCTCCAGGGAGTTCTGTTTTCATGTTGCACTAAATTCCTGCTAATGCTCAAATCTGGATCAAAATAAAATAATCTCCTGAACATCTGCTTCTCGATAGACGCTACAGTTTCCAGATGTTCCCTGAACGCCTCCCGTGCAGCTCCAGTAGAAGCTTCTAGTCTCCATCAGTTACTGCAGAGAGACCAAACATGAGCTTGATGTCAGATTGAATGAATTTAAATGTTCTATCGTGCGGCTCCACGGCGTTGGGCTCCGTCGTGCGTTTGAAAAGCCGACAGTAACTGAGCTGCGATAGGACAAAGGTTCTGGGGATTTTCAGTTCAGCTGCAGGCCTCGTATCTCCAGAGCAGAGAGGAGGGGACGGGAATAAATTAAAAATGTGAGAGAATTATCTTTAAACAGAAAGCCACCAAAATGACACCATTTATCAGCCAGAAACTTTTGAAAAAACTGAAGGATTTGTCACATTTTCAGTGTTCTGAACTCATCCTGTGAAGCTTTTGCTGAGAAGATTCATCACATCCACGCTACAAACTAACGTTTTATTAAAATCCCTTTATTCTGCGTGTCTCATTTAAAAATTTACTAAAAAATAAAGCGCTTGCACGAACCAGATTCTGTAAAAAACAGAAAATTCTGTGTTCTTTCCTGCAACTATGAACCTGTTACTGACTCAGCTTCAACTGACAGTCACATGATGAAAATTCAGTTTTCATCTGAGCTGTAGCAGAGAGGAGACGAGTGTGGAAACGACTGAAACATGAAAATAGTATAAAAGAAAACCATCGAACTGCAACAACAGAAAGAATCCGATTTTGTACTTTTTGATCCTTGGAACTGAGACGTTTAAAGTCTACGACACATTGGCTTTAATCAAACTGAATCCTTCCCTGCCTTTGTTCAGATCAACTCACACATTAATACACATTAAGTGGTGACGATGCTAAGCTAGCAGCGCCTTCACTAAATAATACCTTCTATCTACAAATCACACTGAGATGTTTCCTCCAGACTCTGAGCTGCTGGAAAACACTCTGTGGTTTCTCTCTGATATTCTGGCTGAACGTTGGCCTCCTGACGTTCCAGCAGATCAACCAGAAAACAACACGTCGTTCAGAACGCCGAGCGAACAAAAAACTGCAGACGTGACGGTTTTCTGTCCGTCCGTCGCTACGAACGGCTTCTTTCTGCTCCTCTACCGTCACCCGATACGCTGCTATTAGAAAATTATAGATTGGAGACGTGATGGTGAGTTTATAGCTGACGCTTCAGGAAAACTACGAGTTTCACAGAGAGAGAGAGAAACTGTGGAGGAACTGGAACGTTCCTCTGATTGGAACCATGAAAACGTTCAGCTGGACGTCAGGCAGCAGAACAGATGCATAAAACCAGAACAAAAATATAATATAACAATAAATATATAATATAAAGATATCTGTAAAATAACGAGACTTTTAGTTGATTTAAATGCAGTCAAGTGCAGCGTGAATTCAAACTATTTCTTTTGATTGTATGAGATTCTATATAAAAATTTACCAAAACAGGAAAATCTGCTAAATGAAGCTTAAAATAAATATTTGCTACTTTTTAATATTTAGTGTTCATCATCTTCCTCTCAAATAACAGCAGCTATCTGTAAAATGATGATTTTTTAAAATATTTTTTTTTTTGCTATAAAAAACTATTTTTAAAAAGTTTAATTTTACAGTCAGGCTTCAAAAGAACTAATTAATATTTGTAAAATTACAGATTTTTGATGTGAACATTATTTATAGTTTTTTTTATTTCATTATAGTCAACATGTAAATGATATGTTTTAGGATTTTACTGGATATTATTATTATTATTTAACACTTTGTTTTATCTATAATTTAACAAACAGGAGGATTTAGAACATTACAGACATGTTGTTTATGGTTCTGGTTCGTTCTTTTAGTGCCAAGATGTAAACTGATGTTTTTTGTGTGACGTTTTTAACAAAACACAGAAAAACTGTCAAATTACAGTAAAATGTTGAAACTAAATACAGTTCAAACTGTAAAAACTTTAGATTTTTTACAGTTAGCTGTGGAGCTTTGTGGTAAAGAACCAAAGTTCTGCTTCGTTCTCATGGAACCACGACTGTGTCGTCCTTCAGTCTGGTTCTGATCAGACAGAAAACCCAGAAACGTTTGAGTCGCTGTTTCTTCTGCGTTTGTGTTTTAATGTCAATTATGAATGAGTGTTTGACGTGAACACTGTGTGTCGGTGAGAGTACAGTAACTTCACGGTTCCCTCGACACATCTGCTGCACTGCTATCACACGTGCACGCTCCCACACACGTGCACGCGCTCAGTGATCCAGCTCAGCACACACAATTACTTCCTCTATGCAGCAACACAACCAGTCAGTTACTCTGTCAAACACAGTCAGTCACTGCTTC